CTGGGTCACTAAAAGCAGAGAACCGTTAGTGTGAAAAATGTATTACCGACAAATGCATGTAGGAAACCTAACGTGCAAAGTACCAGAGAGCACACTGCCAGCCCTGATTCCACATGGTCTTAAAACAGATGATCCAAGCAAGTTTTATGCTCACTGCCCATGTTCTCGCTGCCCCCAAGAGGGAAGGAGAGCTGCCCCAAGGGGTGCTCAGGTGCTCTCACGCTGCAGCCTGAGCTCACAGAGGTTGAGGATGCCCAGGACCAGAAACTCACCACAAGAGCAAAGCCCAACCACCTGGGCTCCAGGTGAAAGGACTGAAACCAGAGCCTGGTTAGCTGGTGATTAATTAAATCGAGAAAAAAATACAGCAGAAATTAAAGGACAAAAAAAAAAAAAAAAAAAAAAAGTAAATTCTCATGGCCCCAGCCTTATTTAGAAAGGTCAGAGATTTCCTTCAACATCTTGTAAAGGACATAATTTTTCCTATAAATTTTTCCCCAGTTGTCAGATGCAAACTTTCAATCAGAAATTATAAAAGTGAAGTTTTCTTTAAAAAAGGACTTCGTAGAGATCTGTGGATTTGTAGAGCAGCCATCAATGGGATGTGAAGTATGCATATTGGCTAATATATATATAATTGCAAGATAATACATGAAAGTTTCAGTGCAACATCTTAAAACCCAATTGATTTTTCAGTTACTTTAGCTGTCTTGCTCATTCGGATCATATCTTGAACCAACTTCCTTATTTCACAACCAACAGAGAATTAACTGGCAAGGTATAAAAAACCTGGATGCTGCTGATTTGTTAGGCTCCCATGAGCCAAAGAATTGATGGAGAATGACAATTACCCTAATGGAGCAGTGAGTCAGAGAACAACATGCAGAGATTAGTCCAGAAAAATGCATTTTGCTGAACAAGATGCTTGGAATTTGCCTACAAATAAAAAAAGCAGTTTCTCTGCTAAGCCCAGTTCCTCAGGGGAACCCTCAGCTCTCCTTGAGATTGAGTCTCACTCCATGTACTCAGCATTACGGGGGGGGGGGGTGCAATACCCTTCAGATTCTTACCGTCTCTCTCATTTTTAAGTTTGGTAGTTCTGGTTATAAATCTTCCAGATTTTTTTTTAATCAAACTGTCAAATGGAAAAAAAAAAACAAACTGCTGCCTCTTACTGACAGCGTATTTTTGTTTGAACAAAATTTACAGCATGAAACTGTGCCAGAGTAAGGTGCAAATTCATGCCCCGATCAAGAAGCCTCATCCAGCACTGCCTGGTGGAGAGGACATCCAGCTGCGATGGAAGATTTAGCACTGGGTTATAAAGCCACCCTCTCGGTTACTGCGTTTGGAAATCACTGGCTCTGTGGTTAGGATGGAGCAGGTGACAAACCAAGCAAGCAACCCGCATACAGAACGGAAACCTTGCTCACCAAGCAGTCCTGGATAGGAATTACAGTCCCTCTTTTGAAATTCCGCTCACCTGAAAGGTGGCTGTGCCCCCAGCTGACACTAAGCTCTCTCCTGCATCAGGCAAATTTAATGCACACGGCAGCAAGGATTTACTGCCCTGGGCAGCTAGAGCAGTGTCAGTGAACCGAAGCAGGGAGTTAAGCCAGCCGTGCTATAAAAGCACAGCCTTCCTACCTGTGCTATATCCTGTGCTCAGTGCAAACAGAAAAGCCCAGGTAATTGCAAGGAACACACCCCAGCAAACAAATGTTTATTGAGGCATGATAAATGGACAGTAAGTGGCAGCAGTGCAGTAGAGGACAGTTCCGAGGTAGAAGGCTCTTTCCAAAATTCATTTTCTGTGCAACATAAAAGTAAACAGCGCTCCAGAGGTTAAATAAAGACCAAGGACTTGTGCAAAGGGCAGAGCAGCTTCGGAGCAGGGCTCCCCTATGATAACGTACTCTTTATACTAACACTGTCATTATCATTGCACTTCCTAGGGTGTTATGCAAATCTACAAACACAACGCATGAATAATCAGCCAATTATGCAGAATCAGCTGCACAGAAAACTGTTCGAGTCTTCTATCAAACAGGAAGACAAGCAGCTGGCAGGAGAAAGGTTAACTTTGAAGATATTGAATATTTGTTTTCTCAGAGCAAGTTACTGATACGCAGCATTCAGCGAGAGAGACACGTGCAGCAGGGCAGGCTGCTTGGCCACGCGTCCGTCCTCTGCTCTCATTTTCCTGAGGACAGATGCTGCTAAACAAAACTTAAGGGTTACTCTGCAGGCAGGCTCTTCTTGCAGGTGCTGTGGAGGAAAAGAGTCCCTACTGCCCCAAACACCCAGATCTCCGTGCAAAGTGAGCAGTTCTCTCTTACAGCATTTGAAGAAAATCCCTGAAACTGAGGTTCAGTTCACTGCGACTCTCCAGCCTCGTCCTGCTCACCCAACAAGCAGTGGGCATCCCCAATTATACAGGGAGGACTTTACCTGGGAGAAAAAGCTTCTGCCTTGATTGCTTTTCAGCTAACGAACATGACATCTTCAGAAAAATCTGGGAATCTTCTGGGCAAAGTCTCCTTCCCTTGATCAGAAACCTACTGAAGCCAACAGCTGGACTCAGACTGTTTTCAGGTAGACTATGAACTTCAGAGCTGTTGGTTCTGGCTTGGTTTTGTGGTTTTTGTTGTTGTTTATTTTTACGTGTTTGCAGTTTTTTGTTTGTTCCCACACACCTCCTTTCCCCCCCACTGGAATAAAAACCAGAGCTCCCTTTCTGGCATTCTGGCTTACTTGCAACGTGAAAAAGGCAGATGTATAGAAAATATGAGATGTTTCCAGATGGCACCCGAAAGTTGTGCTGTCGAGTCTGATTTATTTAGAGATCAGCATTTCTCCAGGCACATAGTTTGACATTTAATTAAGGCCAGGACCTTTATTATTCAAGCACATTGCAGTGCTGTTAAAAAAAACAGATGTCACTAACGATAGGAACGTGGTACTGAGTGTCTACAAGCCTTGCTGGTGTAGCCTGGACTGCACAGGTCAAAATTTAACTCTGCAGAGCTCCTCAGGTAGTGATGTTGCAAAGGAATGGTTGGGGCAAGACCTGGTTTTATGGTTTCTGAAGGACTTGCACAGCCCCACACGATGTAGGGCCCTTTCACAGCTCTACCTCAATGTCTTTTGTTCAGGGGCACAACTGAGTGCCTCCAGCTTGGTGTCCCACACCTGCATCCTCTCCCTTTTCCTCAGGGCATCCTTCCCACCTACATCAAAGCCCCAGAGGACGGTGACATCTGGGATAGCCAAACTGTGCAAGGTCCTGTAGACACAGACATATCCTCAAACATCCACTGAAGTTCTGTTCTCATCCATGAGAGCAGAATATATATTATTCTTCTTATGTATTATTCTTCTATATATCGCTGTTGCCATGAACATAGAAAGCTCACATAGATCACACACACTCTACCTACTCATTTCTCTCTGAATGTCAGTGGTGTTCACAGCAACATCCTTGCCTCACATTGCACCTTGTACCCTGGCAATACCTCTAGGGAAGCAATCCCGCAGAAAACCTTGTGGTTGAGTTACTGGGGAGGATTCAAAGGCCCTAACCTTGCAGATGTCTGCCTTGGTGAGAAAGGGAAAGAAAGAGCAAACACCACAGTATTTTCCACCTGTGCTTTCCCAGCTGGTTGGTCTTACTCATGTGGAAAACAAACTGCTTGCACAGGACCAGGGCTCTCTAATGCGTCTCTTCCATGTGTGGCACTCAATGTAGTGGATCCACAGCCTTGGGACTGATCCCATACCCTGTAACATGAAAAATGAATACCGAACCCTCCTGGAAAACTTGCTGACATTTCCTTGGAGGCAGCACCATGATCACAGGCTTGATAAACTGAGCAGTCATCAGCAAATGAGTCGCTCTCCTAACTTGGCCTGTGGAAGTACCATGAGAGAGTCACAACAGAAGTCGCACTGAGATCTGCAGCAAAACCTCAGTGTAAAATATTTTAGTTCCAACTACAGAAATACAAACACTATAAATGTGAGGAGTTAGAGAATTTGCTGGGGAAAAGATAGAGGAAAAGGGGCAGGGAAAGAGTGGACATTTTGATGCATGTATCTTAGCTAATGTGTTCCCCAACGCAGCAATAAGAGTAAGCCAGTACATCTCAAAGCGAGTACTGGAAATTCATAGCAAGTGTTGCTGAGGTATCAATAAAAAGAAAAAAACACAAACACAGAACCACGGGCCTTTCTCCACAGCCACGAGCAAACAGACATACCCATTCTCTAAGCTCCTTGTCCCCAGGGATGGGAAAAGAGACTGAGTCTTGTCAAAGTCATTAGGCCAATCTGTTAATCCTGGGAGCTCGGTTTGAAGGAGGATGCCAGCACTCAGCGGAGCAGCACTTCACAGCACCTGTGCTGATCTACTGAGGGGAAACACCAGCGAAGGAGTGGGTGCAGGCAGCCCACACGCTCCCTCTTTAATTACCAAAAGGTGCAAGCAACAGATCGTCAGGCAAAGCCCTGAGAAGTTACACACGTGAAAACAATTAGGAAATGGAACAATTTAGGTGCTGCAGTTACACAAAAACCCACAAAAAGCAAAGGAAAAACCCAAATATTTTGTCTTTCACAGAACTGAAAACCAACAGAGAACCGCACACCTAGCGAAGCTGTGTGTAGCGAGTCCCCATCCATGACAGCAAGTCGACCTCCAGCTCACATTATTTTGAAGCAATTCCTACACTTGTGTTTCAGAAGTTGCTGTATGTGTCATATATGCACCAATACGTAACGATGCTATAGGGCTCAGGGCACCTTGCGCTGGTCCACGCTAACCCCAAACACGCAACAACCCCAACCCTTACCTCAAATGCGTGACCCCGCTCAGACACAAGACTTTTAATCGCTTCAGGGAGGAGCTGAAGCAGGTGGACAGCCACAAAGTGGCTCACCCCTGCTGTCCCTTGGGGAAACACCGAGCTTTTGGGGATGGAGCCCCCCCGTCCCTCCCTTACCTGCTTCCATCAGCTGGCACTGCTGCCCGAAAACTTGCGAGAAGGTGACGGGGCCTGCAGGGCTGGAGGTCGCCGGCGAGGACTCCATGGCTCTCTTCGGGTCCTTCGCGTTAGTCATGGGCAGAGCCCCGCAGCTGCCCGCGGCCCCCAGGGGAGCTCCGTGCTCCCCCTCAGGGGGAGAAGAGAGGCGCCCGCTGCCGCCGGGCTTCAACGGGAACCGGGGCAGGGGCACGGCGAGCACCGGGGGGGGAGCTCCGGGAGCTGCCCTCGTCCCGGCTCCGAGCCCCAAGCTCGCTCCGGGAGGCCGGAGGAGGCTCCCGGCTGCCTCGTCCCTCCCTCCCGAGCAGTTGAAGGGGAGGGGAGAGGATGGAGGAGGCCGGAGCCGCGCTGCGATGCCGCCGCCTCCTCCGCCCCGCTGCGGCGGCCCTGCCTCCGGCCTCCCCCCGCTGCTGCGGGGCCGCAGCTCGGCCTTAACCCGTTCACCTCTACCCCGGCCCTTGGGCCCTGGTGGAGCTGTTCCCTCACAAACACCCAGCCCGGTTGGGGTTTGGGGGGGGCGGTGGTTGGTCGGTGTTTTATTTTCTTCAGGGATGCAGGGCCGGGAGTGAACTCCCAGACCCGTCTGACACAGCTGATTCGTCTTTATTTTTAAACTATCCCATGCAAAAAGGATGCTGACTCTGGGAGCTGTGCATCATTTTGTCCTCCACGAGTCATCGGCGCTGTCTTTGGGAGGAGAGGGCACCGGCCCACCACAAAAACAGGCTGGGGCTCGGCTGGAGGCAAACCGGGCAGGTGCCAGCGAGGGTCTGGCCACCTCCAGGCCTCATTGCCCCTTCCTGCAGGCAGCCGAGGCCACAGGACTCACCCAGGGGCACAAGGAGAGGTTTTAGCAGGGGGGAATTGAAGCCTGGGCTGCTCAGCGCCTCCAGCAATCGCATTGCATAGTGCGAGCTTGGCTCGGAACTGGCAGCCCCCAGAAAATCCCAGTTTCAGCACTTCCATGTGCCCTACTCCCAGCCCTACGAAACTGGCAGATCATAAAATCAATGAGGCTGGAAAAGACCTCCAAGATCATCTGGTCCAAGCGTCCCCCCCTTAGCACCACTATCGCCCAGGGCAGTTGAATGGCTGCGGAACTGGGCCTGTGCTGGAAGCTGTTGCCTCCCACCAGGTGGCTCCTTCCCATACTGGTTTAAATGGTTTTAGGCTCGGATCAGCAAAGTGTTTAAACAGAGACATCTTTGCATGTTCATTTTTGCTATGACACAGGAACAATTTCTGTCCTCGCAAGCAGAAGAGAGATGTTCCACTTGACCTTCTTGCCTGCTATACGGAGAAAAGAAAAAATTGGCCATGTGGTTCGATCCACATGACTTCAGCATTCAGGTATTGATTTCAGTCACTGTTTTTCTCCTCCCTGACCTGCAAATATCAAAGGCTCTTCTCACCATTACCAAAGCAGCACAAGCAAAACCAGCCAAATGCACTAGGAAGTAGAAGAATTAGTGAATTTCCTGAAGTTTAGATATGCTAAGTAATCTGTGTATTTCTTTTAATGCTGCTACCCAATTTACTTCATGCCATACAGCTTTCATGAAGAAAAAGGAAGGGCTTGAGATTTAGTAGAATGATAATATCCAAATTGCATATGGTACTTTGTATTTTCATCCATACATCTCACAGTGGGGAATTACTATTATATCCCTCCTACAGAGGGAAAGCTATATTATAATAATAATTAAAAAGCTTTGTTCAGATCTAGTCTCCAACATTACAAAGAGAAAATAATGTATTAATAGGACATCTCATTATCATAGAATTATAATTATCATTGTTTCATGAGTCTACAAGAAATTATGTCAGATGTTCTTGTCATTATCAGATGTTCTTGTCATTAGAGCAAAGAAGGGGAAGGAGGGGAGAGGAGGGATGTGCCCAAAGTCTTGTCCTCGTTATCCCACCAACGAGGACAGGGCACTGGGCCGGCTCTGTTGCCTGTTCACTCTCTTTGCCAGGGCAAACTCGCTTGGACAAAGTCTGCTGATATTCGTAGCCCACAAGACCAAGTTCTAAAACCATACAAAAAGTCGGAAAAGCCAATAGAAGCGTGGCACTTAGTTGGGTGGGAAGGAAAGTGAAGAACAGAGGGACTACACTCATTTCTCCCTCCAGCACCACCTCGTGCAATGTGTACTGCTGATCAAGTACCTGGAAATTCCCACAGAGCTGTTTGGTGACTCCTTTGCAAAACTATCTGCACAGCTGCATTCAGCTCTGAAACATTAAAGCAAAATAAAATAAAATAAAATAAAATAAAATAAAATAAAATAAAATAAAATAAAATAAAATAAAATAAAATAAAATAAAATAAAATAAATAAAAAGAGGATACCTGAAAATCCCTTTCCCCTTCCTCCTTGCCCCTTTCTCCTATTTCCATGTGGGAAGGTCACAGGCTCGCTGCCCCCTCCCATTCCCTGCAGCACTCCCCAGCAGGAGCCGCTTGCTGGGGCACTGCACGCAGCACACACAGCGCCTGCACAGCACGCAGAACAGCCACGCTTCATTTAATACTGTCGTTCACAGTGCGCAGCCATTAGATCAAGTCAGTACATGTCTGAAAAATAGAAAGCAAGCAAAGAAGCCCTCTTGTTTGGGCTGTTTTAGGCACCATCTACCTGCTCGGCATTGATGACTTTCTAAACCCAGCAAGACGAGGCACAGCAGTGCCTCACCTCTGCTCTGAACAGCAGGCCAAGGGATGCTCCGGTTCACCTTGGTACATTTTCCTCCCAGGAATGCCTCTCTGCAAGGTGGAAAAATTTTCCATGTATTTCACTGCAGCTCACCTGAATTTCACACACGCAGCTGACAGCCGTGTCACTGTGCCCAGTTTCATGCAGGATCCAACACTGAACTTTCCTCTTCTGGGCTCCTGTGCTTACCACAGTGATCTGAGCTTTAGTTAACGTGCGAGACTCCTTGAGGCCCTGCTCTGCAGCGTCGCTGCCAACTCCACCAGCTGTAGTGACTGACTCTGCATAGAAAATTGCTGCTAATGGAACAGCTTGACTCAAATTTTATCGTTTTAGGTAAAAAGGAAAAATGTCGGGGCTAGCAATAATGCCTGGTTAACAGCACAGCTTCCATGGCAAAGAGCATGGAGTCAGTGCAGTGCCCCGATAGCTGCCCTGTAGCCACCAGAAGATGCCGGGTGACTGCAGCCTCCTCAAACTGAGCTCCCTCGGGCAGTTCTGCTCTGACAGGCCTCTGCTGCCTCCAGCTTTGAGATGAAGCTCCACGTGAGCTCTGTGCAGCCATTAAGGCATTCAGGTGATCACCAGCTGTGAAAGTGTAGTGGGTTTACACAGCAAGGTTTGGGTAGCAGGGGGCCATAGGGGTGGTTTCTGTGAGAAGAATCCATGCCCCTGGTGGAGCAGATTTCTGTGCTCCAGCCCGTGGAGGAGCCCATGGTGGAGCAGGTGGACCTGCAATGGAGAAGGCCATGGTCTGTGGAGAGCCCCCGCAGGAGCAGGCCCCAGGCCAGAGCTGCAGCTGTGGAGAGGAGCCCACACAGAATCAGGAGGTCTGGGGGGAGCTGCTGCTCATGGGGGACCCAGGTTGGAGCAGTTTGCTCCTGAGGGATGGACCCTGTGGTACGGAGCCATGTGGGAGCAGTTCTTGAAGAGAATGTCCTTACCGTTTGGTAAGGACGGAACATCCCACCTAGGATGTGTGTCAGAAACCGGTATTTCACTGTTACAAGGCAGAGACTTAAAAAAAAAAAAAAAAAAAAAGTAGGGATTTTTGCATTTGTTGCAGCACAGCACCATCACAAGGAGGGCTGACAAAATCCTTGGCTGGATGCACAGGGAACTTGAAGTATGGATGCAATTATTCCTCTGGAGACAGCACTACTGAGATCAGTTCTGGAACATTTATGCAATCCATCACACAAAGAAAAATAATGTTTTGTAAAACCCAAAATGAATTTGAAGCAATGCACTTGTTTGGCATAAGTGACAGAGAGAGCTTAAACATAAGCTATTCCTTCCTTCATCTCCATCAGTTCTAGGCTGAAAGAGAATTTTGTCTGGTTGGGTTGTATTCTTTCAAAAAAAAAAAAAAAATGGTACAGAAGAAAATGATGTAAGTGCCACAGGGAGAAAAAGCCCTACACCAAAAGACTTTGAGAATTCCACAGGTAGCTGATCAAAAGAAAGGCTGAGGTATGGCTTAAGTAATGTATGAATATCCTTGTAGAAAAGAAAAACCAAGCCTGAAAGGACTCCAATCAGTCAGTGGTAGGCACAAAGAGAAGCTGAATTCAGATGCATACGTTATTTACTAGGGCAGAGTCCTAAAGGAAATAATAGTCTGGATTTTTTACTTTCCAAGATCAAATAAAGAGGCATTCCTAAAACAATGCACCCTAGGGAAACCTTCATCGTCGGACTCAGAGAAACCACGGAGCCTGTCAGTCAAGTACTCCGGCTGGAGGAAGAAAAAATGTAAAAGGGAGTAAATATGCTTGGTAGATGACAGGTTGAGTATTATCACAAGAAATGTATTTTACAGTGCAAATATTCCAACGTAATGCTGGTCCCAAAAGTCTACTCCATGGCCGTCAACACTAGTGAAAGCAGGGGGTGGGGTGTGTGTGTTAATTCTGGTTAAATAAAATCATTAACATTTACATCCACTTTCCAAAAGCGACAGTGCAATGCTCTATACAGCTGACCCCCCTATTGAAACCTTCCACTGACTTCTCTAGTTTCTAAAATCCCTCCTTCATGAGAATGGCGCTTTCTGCCCCAAGAAGCAGCACTTAGTTCAGCCCTTCCCAGAAGTTCTCCAGAGCTCCTGCACACAGAGCACGGCACCCAAGCTGTAACTACCAGCTTCTTTCCTGGTTCTCATTGATCTTGAAGGAAGTATTTATTTCAATGGTTCAAAAAGGCTTGGTCATCCAGGCAAATGTTAATTCCAAGAGTAAATGAGAACAACAGAGAAGATTTTTCAAGAAAATGAAAAAGGGGCTAATATACCTCATTTATTTGTAAATAAAACATTTACGAGGCATGCTAAAAGCATCTTACAGTTCACTCCAAAAGAAATGAACAGAAACCCAACCCTGCTAAGCACTGATAAAGTCAAGGTGACCCAGAGCTTAGCAGATCAGTAAAGGAGCGTGGGGGGGACTATTTGCATTAGCATCCCGTACCTAAGACAATATTTCCAGGGAGGCCTAATCTTTAACAACTGTCTCTTCTTCTTCCAAGGCAGCTGCAAAGCAAGTCATAAAACAAATGCAGCACAGCTTGA